AGATTTTAAAATTAAATTCTTGTTTTCGGATTTAGGACGTTGCGCATATATATGACCACGTAAATATCTGTGTATATAGTTTGAATTGTCTTAGATTAGTGCTGTAATAATTTGTATAAATTTGTTGCAAAAAATATGTTTTAATAATTACCGCCCCATGTTCCTAAAAAGGACAATATGTATAAAGTGTTTTACTCAAATATTATAGTTTATGAGCTTTCAGTTCAATTTATAAGTCAATTATATCGTTTTTGTTTTAATTATATAAACACTTAATTAAAAGATAAAAAGAAATCAAGTTGCCAACAAACATGTTTTTGCACATATTATACGCTGCGCAATAACGAATTAACCGCAAACGATCTGCCAGACTCGCGGGACAGAATTCGCCAACTGACTAAATTATATTTTTCACAATTTCAACTTTCCAAAAGGACCTTCCCAAAAATATGTCGGCAGCTCTCAGACTATAAATACCAAAACCTTATAGCAGGTTTAGACTCTCGCCTCGCGCCTCGCCTCGTAGCTCGCATGTTGTTGCGAGGTAACGAGTGCCTGTTTACACTCTCGCGATGCGTTCAGTTTGCGTCACAGAGTGCCTTTATATGTTTGCGTTGAGCCAGCAACGATAAAAGTCGTCGAAATAATAGCGGCATCAACTCTTGCCTCCATAAGTATATATCGATGCATGACCATTTTAAAAAGAAGGAAATTAAAAAACATACGTCGTTGAGGAAGAATATGGTGGATGATATCTATTCATTGAAACAGAATCTTTTCAGTTTCATAATTTTATATAAATTGCTAGTACATACATATTGTGCAAGATTAAATAATATTATTTTATTAAAATTGTAATTTTAAAACAAAAGCAATTCGAATGTTATTATGGAAGGGCGCCGTAAACAAACTGAAACGAGAGCGCGAGTGTAAACACCACGCTCACGTCCTTCGCGAGGCCCTTTGCCTCGTGCCCAAAAAACCGCCTCCGACGCGAGCGCCGTGAGTGACGAGGCGAGCTGCGAGGCGAGCCACGAGCTAGCATTTACACTCGCACCTCGTGGCTCGCATCGCGACTCGCCTCGCCGCTCGCGCGAGAGTGTAAACGGGGGGTTAGATGGCAATCCCTTCAGGCGTTCTGCTTAATAATTTTTGAGCTTCTCCTTTATCAAAAGGTTGATTTTTACACAGGAAGAGCACAAGTTTTTGATTTTGTTGTGCGAATTCATTCCATTGCGTATCACGGAATCTTCTAAATTCATCGTGTTCCTCGTTGTTGATATGGTGTAATTCATACTCGGGACGGAATAATAAGTCTTCATCGGTTCTAGTAATACCTTGATTCATTCGTCTGTCATAGGTATTCGTGCTACGCCTTGTGTGGAAATAGAATATCTCTCCTTTGGGCACTGTTAAGTTGATTTTCTTTTCTTTGGTTAGTTCTAGGACCAAGTTGATGAGTTGTACATTTTGCAATCTCAACATCACTTCTTGTGAGATTTTCCTTAAATATATGTAAAGGCACTGAATGCATGCAATTGCAGTACATTTGTATTCTTTTGCACGGATAGCCTTACAAGTTTAATATTAAACCCCCAGTTTTTTTGCGGTGCTAATGTAAATGATATGGTAATGGTGTCGTTTTGTTACTTTGTGATCAGCGATGCCTTTCCAAGGCCTAAGTTTATTTTGGTTTGAGTTATATTTTCTCGTTCCCATTGAGTTGATATTGTCATCGGACGCGTTACTGGCATTACCTCTGGCGTTATCATGGCTAGTTTCATTATTTTGGGGGATTGATCACTGCTGATTCCATCGTCAATTTCCTCCGTAGGCTGTTGGATTTCTGTTGTGTCTTTTCCTCCTCTACTAAGTTCTGCTTCTCGGTCAGGTTGTCCTCCTCCCAATTCTTTTCTTCCAATAGGATTTCCACCTCCTCGTCCAATTGGATGTACTGACTATCTTGGATTTGCTCGTTTATACTTGTTATAATATAGGTAGTATGCCGCGTACATACTGAAAGCTCCCTCAACCAATCCCAGTTCTTTTATACCTTTCCCGATGCAGGCGTGCGTCGTGGTCATGGTGGGTCGATATTTTATTTACTCCTTTCACCTGTCTATTGGTAATTTAAATATAGACTCGTTTTGTCGTTCCGTGGGAAACTTTCACTATCCGATGTAGGTTAGATAGGTGTGTAGGAATGCTGTGGTTAGGTGTATTATGAGTGGACATGTAACATCACTCACTTGAAAAACGAAGTGACCCATGTGGGTGACGTTGCGTGTCATTACGTGTAGTAGTGGAACCTTTTCTTTTTTCATGGGGAAATCCCCATGGATAACTTTGACTGCGGGGCGAAAGGTTATGCCGGACTCCTACCGGCTAAAACCCCACGGTGGTCTACAAAATCATGTACGAGGGGTCCCGGGATTTCCGTTCGGAATGCAACCGGGGCCGCTCTCTCGCTTTGCTTTATTGGAGGCGTCCCGGGGAGCAGTTCTTACTGACCCCAGCACCCTCGCAGTGCACTCGCCATGTCTCGGGACCACTTCCGAGCCTCCTCGGGGATTACATTACTAGGCATTCGAGGCCCCCGCCTCAAACGCATGCAACCCCAGAAGCCCCGTTTCTGGTGGGGAACACCATCTTCAAGGGGAGGGCCGTGACGAACACCTTATTGACCTCGTTTCCGAGTGGGATCTGTCCTTTTACGATCCCGCTCAGCAGCCTCCTTTTGGACCATTACAGACTCACAGAATGTGGCTACGGCCCTCCATGCCGTCCCCGCTCAGCATCGCCGACACGACTGCTGACAGGGAGAGGTTCCCACCGACCTGGCTTGCCAGGATCGTTCGCTCTCGTTCCCACGCCGGACAAACCACAAGCGTGTGGGACGCGCAGTGCTGGTTCCGCCCAACGCAGTGGGAGCAGTTTGCTGTTGCTTCGCGTTCGCGTCCGATCTTACACGGATAAGCTATTTTAAGCTAGTATTCTGTGTTCTGTGAGAGCGTGGTCCTACCCCGATCGAGCCGACCCATTCGTACTACAACCATAATATAGCTGCAACATGGCTCTACCACATATATGAATATATTTATCCTAATATCAATATATTTTTGAACGCCAGCACGCAATAAATGAACCAAATGGTTGCTGCATGGCGATTGATGGAATAGAAATATTCATGAAGACACGTAAAAATGTATTTTCCTCTGAACAACTTCAAGGTCTCAGTAACTAAACAAGTCATAATATTGCCATTTTATTTAAAGATGTTTTTTTAAATTATTGTTTTCGCATTTATACAAATGCATTTATTCAACATACGAGTATATACAGTCATATGATAGATATATATGACCTCTATCTTTCATTGTAATAAATTTATGGAAATGATTTCTTTCTTGTGATACAAGTGCACCTTGACATTCCTCACAAGCAAGTTTCTGTAGCAAAAATCTGACTACAGAGCCAGCTATGTAGGAAATCACTTGTTTTAACAGGTCAGATAGAAGTCTCAGGTAATGAAAAATCATTTCCACGATCAACTATTATAAGCTGCGAATCTGTCACATCATAGCAAGAATCATACAGAACTCCTAATGTTGGGCTTCCAGTTGGGTTTTTTTATTGCTATCACCAACTTATTTGTTAATTTATGGCTATTCGGAAAACTGAAAATAGGTAAGTATTTAACTGCATTAAACTTTATGTTCCTATATAAAAAAGCTATTAAATGTTTTATTTTATGATCCATATGGGTTAGGAATACAAAGAATCCTTACTTCTAATACTATAATTATTACGTAAGAAATCATGTTATTAAAACAATCTAGTGCAAAGTGGCACAACACTAGCTAAACCTGAAGCACAAGGAGTGGGTATGTGCTGTGGCACCCCTGCCACGGCCCTCTCGCTTAAATCAGTTTTCTGAAATATTACATACAGATGAAAAGAAATAACATAGTTCTTCTTATTTTGCATTCGTGAATCGTTTTTGCAGCTTTGCAATGCACATTTCACCATGATAACTAAAAATTCTATAAAATATTGTGGGGAAATAAGTAACGCTTGTGACTCTTCAAGACTAATAACATCGTCCTGGCCATTTCTGGACTGGTCTAACACATGTATACAATTCGGACTTGCTTATGCACACTCTAGTTTGCTTCTAAATACTATAAGGTTGATCACATCGAAAACCAACCCTCCTTCCCAGAATTTTGTATGTTATGAAACAGCAGCCTATTTACATGCATTGTTCTTTCATTTGAATTCTAAAGATATGTGGTAGAGCCATGCTGCAGCTATATTAGTAGTATAGTTGTAGCACGAATGGGTCGGCTCGACAGGGGAAGGACCACACTCTCACAGAATACCAGTGTAAAATAGCAGCTTAAAACTGTTGTAATTTGTATGGTGAGTGTAGAGAACCGGACCCTTTTTACTGGAAGAGGCATTTCATCTTAGTCCTCACGGGTGACAACGCATCTGCAATTTGATTTGCAAAAGAGGATAGATGTAGATGTCTATGGGCCACAGCAACCACTTACCATCAGGTGGACTGCGTGCTTGTTTGTCACCCTATCCTTTAAAAAAAAAAGATAATTATTCAACATTTAGCCCTGAAGTATTCATGGATTTATTCACAGTTATGCTTCCATAGTTTTAAAGTTTAATATTGTAGTCATTGTAGAACTTAGTTAAAGGTGCTTTGATGTGGTATTGATTTTACTTTCACCACCACATTTCTGGAATACAACTCAAATTAGCATAGCATAGCATTATTTAATCTGTAATAGCAACTGATTAAAAATATATTTTACTACAAAACTAACAATGAACACATTATGAAAACTATTAGAAATTAATTACACATGTACATAATACAAACTAACAATATGACAACAGAAATATTTTGATGTGTTTATAAAAATCTATATTATTTTGCTTTAGTTTAATTATATAAAATAACGTTAAAGAAATCACAAATTTAACTAATTAAGAGATTTTCCAGCTGTCATCATAACTCCAACTACGAGAGCTGTAATAGTTAAACCTTGTGCAACAATTCTCACACGCATCATCCGTTGTGATAATTTGGTTTTGCCAGTTCTGAAACACCATAGGCCATAGGATAATGCTCCTGCAGTAGCAAAGCACCCTGAAAATTTTTACAAAATATTAATCGTCGAAATTATTATATATGTTATAACAAATTACAATAAATAAGCAACAAAATTTTGATTCCACTGATAAGTATTATATTTATTTAATATTTTTCGAAGTAATTATCTATACCAATTGGAACAAATGGATTTTCTTTGAACTTTCGAACAAATTTTTCCTTTGTTGTTTCTGTATGATGCGATGTTCCCATATCACGTCGCAATTGAATCCAATCTAGATCTGTAGGTTCTTCATTTCCGTTAGACATTTTTATTATATACCAGAAATAAAAAGTAGTAGTCGTTTATTCCTTGGTTTTATTTCAGTATCAGTACCTACTATTTCTATTTTAGTTCAATTCAATACACTTTTATTATGAATTACGAACTCCCGATTATATTAGCTTATCTATGATTACGAAGTTACAGTCATAGATAATATACTATATGGGGTAGTTACAGTCACCAAAGATAAAAGATCGCAAAGAACACCATAAACATAGATAAATAAATATGTAGCATAGTGATGTTCAACTCGAGTTGCGCTTAACTCGAGTTGAATCGAATATCTCCCTAACTCGAGTTTGGGCTGCTGTACATGAACGGATCAAGTGAGCCAGTAAAAGAGTAAGAGCGGGAGCGCGATTCATTCGTTGTTTGCGCGCATTGTGTTTCAGAGTATTTAGCTACAACGAAAACAATTTATTGTTTAGAATTTAATAATAGCTAAGTTATATAATTTAATTTCTTTTATAATATTGATTAATTATGATCAATATAGTTATGTAAGTCACATATTATTTTGAAACCCGAAAAGTGTGGTTAAGTTGTAAGATACATCATATTTTAAATTAACGCCAAATGTAACACTTAACTTACAATAAATATTATCAATTTGAAAAAAAATTAATTTATTTGAGAATATTTTGACTGTGATAATTAAACTTTTAATAGCTTATGTACCTACATCTTAAAACTAGATTAATATTGTATCTTGAAGACTGTTATATAGCTAGTTTAACTGTTGTTAAATACAGGTACTTACTATAACTAAGATTAAAATGAAAAATACATAAGTATGTGATACATACAAAATATATCTATTTATTTCAATCCTACATAATATGTTTGGTAATTATAGTTATTTCAACCCACCAAAGAGCTGGATATAAAACAAATTTATAAAAAAAAGTAATTTGTACAAATCATTTACTCTGTTTCGTACTGCTAACTCGAGTTGTGAGAATTTCAACTCAAGTTAACTCGAGTCGTAATTTTTCCGAATTGGCACATCTATAATGTAGCAAGCTAATGGATGCCATACACGAACAAGTCTACCGTCAAGTATGCAGCGCGCTTGAAGCGGCGTCCGGTAAACTTGACGGTGTATGGCTGTGGGTGTGCATGACAAGTCTACTTGAAGCAAAAATTGAATTTCGATTCTGCCGACTTGATCAAGCTTGCAGCGTCATGTAAACTTGAACGTGTGTATGAGCGGTCAAGTATGCATGACGTTAGTCGGCTTCGGCAAGCGAAGACGTACGCATGTACCGCACGTGACGAGCACCGTGTCGCAAAATACTGCGCGTTATAGAGAAGTCCTCTGCGACTTCATTAATATTTATAGAAATGAGCCATGTTTGTGGCAAATAAAAAATAAATTGTACCACAGCAGGTAACTGTACATATACTCGTATATATTTACAACGCAACCAATTAAATACTTTTTTACTTATTTCACTAAAAGATAGGAAAATTAATGCAAACGTGAACTACCTACTCGTAATAAGATTTTATTTATGTAAAAAGTAAGAAGTCTTGAGATGTGATAACGAAATATAAGTTTCAAAGATGTTTTATAGGTTATAAAACATCTTTGATAAGTTTGTTTTCTTTTATTTTCTACTGATTTTTTGAGTGTTGCATAGTGTTATCCGCTTTTGTTAATCGCTTTTACAACAAAATTCCAGAAAATATACAAAATTTGACATGCTCAAAGTTCAAAAACTTTATTAAACTAAGTTTGTATAAGAACTGTTATTATAATATTAAAGAATTTATAAATGACAACGACGACAATCGACGGATTCAACTCGGCTGGGCAGCGTTCGGGAAGCTACGACACATCTTCTCGTCAGACATACCTCAAAACCTTAAAACGAAATTGTACAACCAGTGCGTGTTGCCAGTGATGACTTACGGAACTGAGACGTGGTCCTTCACTGCTGGCCGTATGAGGAAGCTCAAGGTCGCTCAGCGAGCTATGGAGAGGGCTATGCTCGGAGTTTCTCTGCGTGATAAACTTAGGAATGAGGATATCCGCAGTAGAACCAGAGTGACCGACATAGCCCAACGGATTAGTAAGCTGAAGTGGCAGTGGGCCGGCCATATAGCTCGAAGAACCGACAACCGATGGGGAAGAAAGGTTCTCGAGTGGCAGCCTCGTACCGGTAGGCGAAGTGTAGGGCGTCCCCCCACGAGATGGAGTGACGACCTGGTAAGACATGCAAGAAGTCGATGGATGCAGGTGGCTCAGGACCGTGCTTTGTGGCATTCTTTGGGGGAGGCCTATGTTCAGCAGTGGACTTGTGAAGGGCTGTAATGATGAATGATGATGATGGAAATGACAATAACCCCTGGAAATGAGGTGATCGCTACCAAGCTATTAATAATTTGTTGTGTTGTTAATTCGTGTAACATAGGTACCTACATGATTGTAAGCTGTTATTTAAAAAAAAGTCCCGCTGGATTTCTTGCTGGTTCTTCCCAGGACAGAGGTTTTTTTTTCGAACCAGTGGCAATTAAACAATAGTGTGACTTTCAATAAGTATTATTTCAAATCTATATTGAATAAAAAAGTTTCTGTTTCTGTTTCTGTTATTAGTAATACCCGCGCACGTAATTAAAAATTGTAAAAATACCCTACCTACGTTTAATGTAATTTTCAAGCCTGAGCTTGAGTAGAAAAGTTGTTTCCCTAGGTGTATAATATATTTATTAATAATTTATAAGCCTAAGATGGCTAACGCATCGTCGTCCGTCACTAGTGACGCCATGGTTTCAACTGATGCGGCATCATGCAAACTTGACGGCGAACTTGAACGTGTGTGGCCTATATGGATGCACTGCAAACTTGACGCCGCTTCAAGCGCGCTGCAAACTTGACGGTAAACTTGATCGTGTATGGCATCCATAAAGAACAATAAGCATAGACAATAAGCTAAGATCATAGACTTAGAATATACTGGCACCGGGTAGGTTCCGGCCTACAAATATTGAAATTTGGAAACAAAAAAATCTCATATTATTGACCTTAATTTGCCCTTTCAGCCTACGTAAATTATTTTATAAGCCCGTTTTTCGTTTTCCCAGGAAAAATCGAAATAGAATTTCCCATTTTCTTATATTTCAAATAGTCATATCATATCTCTTTGAAAAATTATTATTGTTTACTTCACCAAGCGTAAAAAAATTGCTCTTGGGCTATTTTAATTTGCCCGCGTGCAAATTCTTAAAAATATTCAATAATTAACAAACCTATACATATAATAAATCTGTAGAAAAATTGTGTATTCACGATTCGTGCAAAAACTACGTAGAAATGATTAGTGAAATATAAAAAAAATATCACGTCACCTACCAAAATAAGTGGCATATTATACTTCAAAATATCATAGGTGTGACATGGACGTTATACATGATCTTTGTTTTGTCCATGTTCATCTTAAGACCTATCCGTTGGGAGGCGCTATTACGGTCGTTGAGCATAGTGCTTATGTCCTCCAGCGATTCTGCCATAAGGACAATATCGTCGGCAAATCGAAGGTTAATGATGTACTCGCCGTTGATGTTAATACCGTATCCTTTATAGTCTAGAAGCTTGAAAACGTCTTCCAATGCAGCAGTGAAGAGTTTCGGGGATATAACGTCACCCTGTCTTACACCTCTCTGCAGTTAAAGTCAACTAAGTATAAACCTATTTAAATTTTATAAAATGTTTTGATGTGGAAATAAAAAGCGGGGATGCGATGTACATGGTGGCTGCTTTATTTTTCATATAAGTATTACTTTTGATAATTACAAACATCATTTTAGCTGCTTGAACTTTAAAAACATAATGATCTTAATGGAGAAAAGTGTACCAGGTGTCTAAGGATACAGATGCACTCTCTATTTTCTCAATCTCGGTATGTTAATAAAATGGTAAACAAATGCAACTTAATCTCGCAGATTTTCTTCACGAGTTCCTCTTCTTTACAACTAACTCTGTAGGCCATGAACCACGCTACTTAAGCCTTCGGCACAATGTTCTTTGCTGTTTTTTTTTAAAAACGTTACCCCCACACTAAGATTTTCTTCTGTATTGTGAAGGCAGTTTACAAACATAGATTGCACGAGGATAAACATCCAGACATGGAATAATGATGTGTAGGCCATACAAATACTTGTTACGTGCGGGATTTGAACCCGCGGCACCCAGCGCAACAACTCATTGGTAAGCCACTGTGCCACGGAGCCGTCAATGTTGCCGGCTATAAAGCATGAATCGGCAAATATTGTGGAATTTATACTACCGCGTCTCACGCGTGGGTAAATATCTATACCTAACTACGCTAAAAGTTTTATCATTGTGACTTGGGAATAAAATCCGAACCTTCGCTCAACCCCTTGGGAAAAATAGCGCGATGCTATGAATATTGTACTAGTGTGACCGCAAGGCTGTGCGGTTGGTTAAGTAAGATTCCCGTGTGGAGTTGCCAGAGCTCCCATCGGGCGCATAACCAGGTGGCGGATAGGGGAACGCCACCCAGATATGGTAGCGGGAAAACGCTGCAGACTAAAACTAGCCGGGTATGGGCGTACCCGTGGTTCCATCAGAACCAGAAACGGCCGGGGCTTAATACCCTAAGAGACGAGCCTTCACAGGCTTGTTGTTGCTCCCGGTATCCGGCCAAGATGTTTCCTGATAGGGTGATCCGACCTCCATTGGCAGGTGCGAGTCGAGGTGAGTTATCGCTACCTCAACGGCCATCATCACCTTTGCAATCGGCTCCATCATCGCAGCCACAGAAGACGAAAAGGCAAAGGTCGAAGAGGAAAAAGAAGCCTACCTAACCACCGCTGGTCGATCTTCCCCCTGTGGCTGCGACGGTATCGAATAACGCGGTACCGCCCAATGCCACTTCGTGCGTTGAAGTGGCAAAAAAGCCCAAAAAATCAAGGGCAACCGAAAAGCAGATCGCCGCGATGGCATCACCTTCCGGTACTC